TGGGGGGACATAATTCAAGCCATGACACTATCCCACCACCGTTAACACACGTTCAGTGCACTCGAAGCAAAAACTCCCTCCTTCCTCCTCTCACCCTCTCTTGGTAACCACTAATTAGTTTTAGTTTCTGTCATTTGCTTATTTCATATTAGTGATATCGTACAGTATTTGTCCTTTTGTGTCTTGACTTTCTTCGTTCAGGATCACGTCCTGTAGGTTCATCCATGTTGTGGCATGCATCAAAACTTCATTCCTCTTTAATGTTGAGTAATGATCCATTGCGAGTACTTCCCACATTTTGTTTATCCATTCATCAGTTGAGGTTTTGGTTCTTTCCACCTTTTGGCTGCTGTGAACATCGGTGATCATACATCTCTCCCCTTGCTTCTTTCAGATTTTTGGGTGTATACCTAAGAGTGGGATTGCTGGATCATATGGTAGTTCTTTGTGCCTGGTATTGTAGGTTTGCTTCAGTATTATGGTCATCACTCTTAACAGTGAGCTATGTCTCATAGGAAAAGTGGTTTCAAATTGCATTAGAGATGGGAGGAAATTTCGGGTTGCTTCCTCAGGCAAGGGGAGCTGTTGGGGGGTACAGTTGGTGCATTAATCCATTTGGCAACTATTTCTAGCTCCTGTTCTGTGCTATGCAAGATAGGTGAGGGGCCTTGTTCTCCTGACGCTAGCATTCTAGCGGGTGAGACTAAGTGATGCTGGTGGTCAGAAAGCCACAAGTGCTGTGTGAAAGTCAACAAAGATGGCAGAGAGAGTGCCTGGGGGGCAGAGACAGTTTTCCTCAAACTTTGTAGGCCCCGCCAGGATTGTTTGAGGATTATGGTATGAATATTGTTTATGTGAAGGTTGTAGAGACAGGAAAACTGTTGAGAACCACTAATTTAGCAGATGAGGAAACTGAGGCATGAGAGTTTTCATTATTCAGGGTGGTATAACTCATTCGTGAAAGAGCTGGGACTAGAGGCCATTTTCCTCATTCCCATTCATGTTAATTCAGATTATTTTCCATATTTTCCCAGTGACTGTTTTTAACCCCCTAGTCAAAATTTTGTTTCATTGGCATGTATGATGGACTGGAGGAAAGCCTTGGGGAGCCCTTTTCCAATGGGCTGGGAGAAGCTCATAGGACGCACACACAGCTTCTCTTAGAATAGGTGGAATTTAGTGGTTTAGAGACCTTGTAAATGAGAATTATAGTAGCAAGATCACTTGCTTCCTGTAAACGATATGCTTTTAAAAATTGAACACTGTGCTAAATTGAGCAGAACTTTTTTTTTTTTCTTTCAAGCCTAAGAATGTTATTTTAATAGATTTACAGGTTTTTAGAGCTCGTGGCTTAGTGGCTAAAGTGCTCAGCTGTTAATGGAAAGGTTGGGAGCAGGAACCCACCAGCCACTCTGTGGGGGACAGATGTGGCAGTCTGCTTCTGTAAAGATTTGCAGCCTTGGAAACCCTATGAGGCAGTTCTGCCCTGTCCTATAGGGTCGCTGTGAGTTGAAATCAACTCAGTGGCAGTAGATTTGGCTTGGTTTGGTTTTATGGGTTTCAATAAATGGGGAAAGTTGAAATTGGCAACCTGGATTGATTGACAAATTAGGAGGCTGGTAAATGGATTGGTGACTGTAGAATCCTTTTGAGGCCTGTGGTAAGTTGAGCAGCCAGGCCGATGATGTTCATGAGGTTGGTGCCCTGTATGTCTACTTGGTAACCCATCCTATGAGGGAGTCACCCTCTATTCCTCAGGCAGTGGGCCAGGCACATGGTTTTACTTGTGGCACATCTTAGGGTAAGTGGATTTGAGGCCCTGCCATCTTCCCTCAGTCCATCCACACTGCAGAGCTGGGATCTGCTTTGTGGGCCATACAGTCTCTATTGTAATTTCAGCTCTGCCGTTAGCACAAAAGCAGCTGGAGACACTGGGTGCTGCATGAGAGCTGGCTGTGTTACAATAAAACGTTATTTGCAAAAAGAGATCGTGAGCTGGATTTGGCCCACAGGCCGTAGTTTGCTGACCCCTGATTAAGAGTGATGAGGTGTAAGTTACATGGGACATATTGAGCAACCCTAATACCAAGTATTTTTGTCCCTCCTTTCATCTTTTTAAACTTTTGGGCAGTTGTGAATTATAGTGAAATGAACGTGGCCGTTCACGCGGTCTACAGGTTGACTTTGACATATCAAAGTCAGACAGAATGTGTGTCGGTGTTTTCTTGTTGCCTGCGTTTTCTAAGTTACTTTCTTGTTGGGTAGTCTTTCCCTCTCTTTTGGAAAGATGTAAGAAGAAAGCCTTTATTTCACAAGCGCATACTTCAGAAGAGTATGCTCCATGTTTCATACTGTAAACACGTCAGCTGGAATTTAAACAAGAACAGAGATATTGAGATATATTCCTTTTTAATCAAGTAGAACCTAAATTAAAATTTATGATTATAATCAGGAAATTATAATCAAAGTTTTTTTTGTTTTTTTTTAACGTTAGCCATTCTTTATTTGGATAGACTGTTTATCCGTCTCATTGTAAGTTAATTGATGTAATGCCAAGTCAAGAAATAAACATTTTTAATGATATGAAGTATTATCCTGCTGTTACTAATGAGGCTTCTAAAGAAATATGGAAATATCTTTGTGAACTAATGAATCGAGAGAAGAATTTGGTCCCCATGTTCATTACAAAACCCATTGTGGTAAAGTCGATTCCGACTCACAGCAACCCTATAGGTCAGGGCCGTAGGGTTTCCAAGGAGTAGCCAGTGGATTCGAACTGCTGACCTTTTGGTTAGCAGCTGAACGCTTCTCCACTGCACCGCCAGGCTCCGTCCCTGTGTATCAGAGCTGTGTGACATACGCTGGTGTGAAGCCGAAGGTGAGACTTTCTACTTGGTGTTAACGGGCAGAGATTTTGGCACTTATTGTTTTTAGGAAATTTGTTTTGTCCTAAGATTGGTTAAGTATCTAAATAGTCATAACTTTTCAGTAGGAATTTTGTAAATGCCTAGGGAGCTACAACATGAAAGTAAACATTTTCTAAGCCTCGAGCTAATACTTAATGCATTCACAGCATTTTAGCAGTGTTTGGCAGAAAGGAAACTTACAGGAATGTAGTGGTTTTTCTCTGGTTACCAGAACACACACTTCTTTTCATTTGATCCACAATGTGCTACTGGAAAGCAGCCCTTTCTCGGGTTCCCTCCTGCCCTTCCGAGTCTCTGTTCACATCCTTCCCTCATGTCTCTGAGCAGAGGGGCCCCGTCCTTGTCACCATCAGCCTCTGGCCTCTCCCCGGTTTTTCTCGTGCAAGACTTCCACTTCCTGGCTTCCGTATCGTCTCTCAGAGACCCGATTTCCAAATCAGTAAACCTTTGCTCTTTTTTGTTGTTTGTGTGAAGGCTCAGTATGTAAAATAAAACACTAGCCCGATGTGGGGCACATAGTTGTCATCACAGTTGCTATTTTGAAAATCCTACATTTTGTCCTCTGGGCTGGCTCATTCCCCTTTAACTGCTAACCTGCTCATCTTTTCTCTCCTGAAACACTCCGCTCAAACTCATCTGCCCCTCGGGTTCTGGCCCTTTCTTCTCTTCATCGCTCTCACCATGCCGCAGGTGGCTTCCGGCCTTCCTTGCCGAGTGACCCTGTAGCGGCTGTGCTGCGTCTCCGTCCTCCCCGGCCTCCCGGAGGCTGCCTCTTCCCCAGTTTCTGTGACACGCGGCCCGGGTTTCTGTGTCCTGTTTGAATGTGTCTTTCCTGTCTGTTTTTCTGGCTTCATGGCCTCTTGTCAGCCCCTAAATGTTGGTGCTCCCCAAGCTTCTCTCATTAACCTTCTCGCCCTACCCCCCTCCTGCCCCCTTCCCTCTGTATCTCTCACTTCTGGGGCTTCCGTGTCCCATCTGTGCAGACTCTTAAGTGTGTGTTTCTGACCCACTTCTTGTTTTGAGCTCAAGGTTTACATCTGGAGAGGTCAGCACAGGGGTGCTGTGGGCACCTCAGACTCCACGTATCCCAAACGAAACTCGTCTGTTGTCTCCAGTTAGCTTCTCCACATTGCCCTTTAGCTGTTAATACCGTTCTCCCAGCCGCTATATCTTGGGGGCATCTTGCCACATCTCTCCCTCACCCTGCACCTTGCTTTAGGGATACCTTTTCAGGTTTACCTTTGTAAAGTATCTTCTTCCAGTTTTTTGTGTGCGTACAGAAACGTAAAGAGAGATCCAGAAGGAAATCCACCACAGTGTTCAAAGCCTTTCATCTCTGGATGATGGGATTTTATATTGTTTGAATTGTGTTTTTTACAGCAGGCATCCATTCTTTACATACTTGTCCCCCACCTACAGCCTTGTTTCTCAGCCCTTCCTTCCCTGCGCTTGCTCTAGTGCATCTCCTACCTCTTCTCAGCTCACGCATACTTCCTTACCCTCTGCTCGGTGCCCGGTTCATTCTTCCTCTGTTTGTCATTTCTCAGGGATCCTCTCAAGTAAGCTTTCCTCAGTGGAGCCTCCTTTCACAGGCCCTCGAGTCTTTGCATCCCTTGCTGTGTTTTGCCTTCTGGTCTTTTTATGTATGTGTTTGTGTTAATTCCTTTATTAGATTGTACGCTCCATGAGGGCAGAGGTTGTGTCTTATTCATCCTCCCCCCCTTTTGGTTACAATCTCCCCATTTTTCTTTGGGGGCTAACACCTTTTCCCACTGGCTATGGTTTTGGTGGGTTGGTGAGCCAAGGTGTGTCCTGCCAGTAGAATGCTCTTCCCTGGAGTCTGGATTTTGAGTTATGGGAGACAAGGACTGACAGTGGTTGGCGCTGATCCATCCTGGCCGAGGTGCTATGAAGAAGCCACTCAGTAGTTCCTGCCTGCCAGATCCCTGGAGCTGCTCTGGCCCCTGGACCCCTCCGAGGCCCGGTTCTCCAGCCTTTCCTTCATATCTGTGAGCTATCTCATATCCTTAAAGTACGTGTCTTTTTTTTTTTTTTTTTAATTTATGTTGGCCAGAGACAGTTTCTGTTGCTTGTACCTAAAGAGCCCTACAGTAGAACGATTATGATTGGAACTGACAAACATTCTGTTTCTTGTCTTGATTCTGATGTGTTTTTTTCTTCTCTTTAAAAACAAAAACGATAAACAGCCGGAGACTGCTGCTGCTTTGAAACGCACGCTAGAAGCCCTGATGGACAGAGGGGCGGTCGTGAGGAACCTGGAGAACCTGGGCGAGCGAGCGCTTCCTTATAAGATGTCCGCGCACAGTCAGCAGCATGTGAGAGGAGGGTAGGTGCTCCGAGAGTCAGTCAGAACGCGTCTCTGATGCTCTCAGTAAACTGCGCTGGTGAGTTGGTCTTAGAAATTGTTACCATTTCGCAGTCAGATCTCACTGTGCCCAGAAATGTTTTCTGAGGTGGTGTTTAGGTGCATCTCCTAGCAGGGTCGTGCTACACACAGGCTGCAGTTATTCTGCCCTTAAAACTAGCTGCCATCCAGTCAGCTCTGACTCACGGTGACCCCACGTGTGTCAGAGTAGAACTGTGCTCCATAGGGTTTTCACTGACCGATTTTTTGGAAGTAGACCATCAGGGCTTTTTTCCAAGGCACCTCTGGGTGGACTTGAACCCTCAACCTTTTGGTTCGCAGCCGAGCGCATTAACCGTTTGCACCACCCAGGGACCTGATTCTGGCCTTAATAAACTATAATCAGGGTACAGAAATAGGCCATGCTAGGAGCAGCAGTTTATAAGCCCTTGATTCTGGAGAACGTTCTCTGTCACCTAAGTGCCGTTTTCCTCTGGCGCTGCTTTAACTTCTGTCTCAGACCCCTCAGTGGGCAGTGCATTCGCCACACACTCAGTGTGTCCTTTGGAAACACGGAGGTTGCAGATAACAGGCAAAATGTGCTGCTTCGGGTTCATACACATAACCAGAGCCTACTGACAAGAGAAAAATGGTTTTACCTACTCCAGCTAATAATCACAATTTTCTAGAATGGAATTTTTTCTCCCACAGCATACAACAGTTTCCTGAAACATACGTCAAGGATCTGATTCTGTAGTAATAACTTTGTAGAAATTCTTTGAGACCAGTTTGTTTGTTGAGTTCGTGTAAAGCTTCTTCTCTAAGCCCCGGTTTCTGGTCTGGGGAACAAATCTCACATTGTGGCTTCTCTAGAAGCAGGTGATGGAGAAGATGGGCCTGTTTTTAGCACAGTGGGAAGTGTCCAGGATCAGAAGACTCGACTCTCCTGCTGGTACCCAGCAGCTGTGTGTGGCCTTGAACAGGTCGTTTAGCTTCTCAGCCTTTTGCTTCCTGGGGGCTGGAACTAAGGTAGGGTGCCCCTGTCCATGTGGTCCTGGGGATCCAGGCGAGATAATCTCTGCAGGCGTGCCCTGTGGACAGTGCTGGGAGCTACATGGATGCGCCACTGGTCTCGTCCCGTTGTTCAGTGCCGCGCATGTTGTGGGACTGGAGTGTGCATTCTGCCTCAGAGTGAGGCTTTGCTCTGCATCTAAAGCTTCTGCCGAGACGGGGCACACGTTGTAAACTTCGTCTTTGATTGCCTCATCTTGTTTTGTGCTGGTTTCAGCTTCTTTAAGAACGCCTCTGAAGAGAGTGCCTGAGGCGTTGCTAGGCAACATAAAATGCACAGGGACTGGTCTTCTTCCAGTCGAACTAACAATGAGGGATGGAGATGGTGTGCGTGTAACATACCTTTATTTATTTTTTAATTTAACTACAAGTGGATTTGATTTTAACAGCAAGCTGTGACCCTTTTGCCTTTCTGGTGAAAGAGGAGCCATGAATTTGGCCAGGAATGACTAGCCAGGCTGTCTGTGGACGGCACCCACCGGGGAGAGAGGGCGGTTTCCGCCCCTGGGGCAGTGCCCTCATTGGCGTGGTGCTCGTCCGTGTACAACAGGACTGCTTCATCCTGCTCTTTTCCAAGTGGAGGGTTTGGTTTTGTTGAGGGTTGTTGTGACCAGCATCCTAGAATTCGCACTTCTAACAAGTGCCCGGAGTCCCTGCATGGTTAATTGCTTTGCTGCTAACCGAAAGGTTGGTGGTTCTGGTTCCCCCAGAGGCACCTTGGAAGAAAGGCCTGGCGATCTACTTCTGAAAACTCAGCCATTGAAAACTCGGTGGAGCCTAGTTCTGCCCTGACACACGTAGGGTCACCATGAGTCAGAGTCAACGTGACAGTAATATGGGTTGCAAGTGCCCGGGTAATGCTGATGCTGCTTGTTTGGGTTCCACATTTTGAGATCCTCTATATTAGCTCATTTAGTTTCCAGGCCTCTGGGGTGAAGGGTGGGGAGATTGGGGGTGATGCTGTTACCTTTTATGGATGGAATAAATCCGGGTCCTTGAAGAACGTGCCTGGTGCTAAGCCAGGACTGTGGGCAGTGCTAGCCCTCCATCCTGGACTCCGGATAAGACGCACCTGCCTCGCCAAGGACTCTGTCGCAGTCAGTTAGTTCATTCACATTTTAATGATTTTGTTTTTGTTCCTAAATGTAGTTAATGTAGACTTCTTGCAGAGGAGAAGCAATGTTCTTAAAGTGTATTACGTGTGTGTATGATGTATAGACACAGGAAGAAGGGGGGAGTTCCTGTTTTATGCCTGTTTTCCTGGGATGATTCAATGTCTGGATTCATTCATTTAAGGCACTGTTACCCACCGTGTGGTCTCTGGAACACTAGTTCTGTGGAGATCAGTCGGCGGTAGGAAGCCTTGTGGAGGTGAATCCCTCCTAGAGCTTCGTGACGCAGGCTGGCGTGTGTACGGCATGAAGGCCTCCGGCGAGACGCCCTCATTTCTCTGCCTCGCTGTCCATGGCGTCCTGTAGTTCTGCAGCACCCACTGAGACTCTGCACAGGGACTTTTGGTGAATGAGGTCACGAGGGGCTAGTGTATCTTGAAGTTACCTGGAGAAAGGGTTGGAATTGAGCAGCGTGCTAGAATTTTGCAATATGGAGCTTAGGTTTCGTCTAATATTCTCTTGGCTTTAGCCAGTGCACACCCCCGCCCCCCGCCAAGTCACTGACCCCAGCCATATTTGTACCAGGCATTTTGTCCATTTGGTGAATTGTTTGTGTGCGTTACACATAGCCATGGAAAGGTGTAACATTTGCTAAGCGGATTATGTGCCAGGCATTACACCAGGTAGTTAAGGAGACAGAGTGGACTTGTCAGTTGCAGATTTAGCATCCAAAGTTTTGGCTCTTTGTACAGCCCTGGAGGCCAGGACACGTGACTGTGATTTGGTGAGGCGCTGGCTTGAATCCTATTTGAATAATAAACACCAGGTACCGCTTCCTTCCAGAGTATGCCCTCCTCTGGGCAGACCTCCCCGGCAGCCCTCATGGGCGGCTTCGTGAGTGAGCCTAGCTGACCTCTGAGAATCTGCGTTGCGTGTGGCTCTGTTAGTACGCTGTGTTCATTGCTTTTTCATTTTGCAGGGAGAACTGGTATGTCCTAGCAGTACTCACAGCCCTCAGCAGGACTCTTGGGATTGTTGTGGTTCCTGGTCTCAGGGAGCTTTCACGCTAATCAGTTACCATAGTGCTAACTTGGTTCCACCAGAGGGTGTAAGTGTAGGATGCCCGGTGCACAGCCAGGGTGCCTGGCGTCTCTGCTGTGGAGTGACTGCCACCACCATTCCCCCATCCCCCCGCCCCTGATCGATGCTACACACATGCCACGCTGGCCTGAAAGGAAGAGTGGGTGGGAGACAGCCTGCTAGTTTACGCTTCCCAGAGGAAGGGCTTATACTTGGGAATGGTGCTTGGTGTCTATTAGTATACCAAGCTTATTACCAGTTTATGCCAAAAATAGAAATATAGTCATTATACTCCAGGTATTAATGTGGTCACTCCCCACTTTGGAATAGCTTATGTTCCAGGAATTCTTCCGTCAGCCTGTTGTTTATAACTGGGGACCTGTTTTCCAGTGGAACGACTCAGTGCTGGCGCTCCCAGGCTTGTGCTCACACATTTAACTGACAGTTACTGTGGCTCCAGAGGATTGGCGAGCATCATCTCCAGCTGCTGGCCTGCTCCCACCAGCAGCCAAGGGAGCCTAGGTCGGGGCACCTTTTTCTGTGTTGGGAAGGCTGTCGCAGACGACCTGTCACTTAGCGACACTGTTTTTCCAAGGGAGGTCTCTTCTCAAGTCAGTTGTCCCCCAGGTGGTGGGGATTGAGGAGCAGGGAAGAGCCGACCAGATGCTCCTGCCTGTGCAGGCAGGCGGGGTGGGTGGGAAGTTTGGATCTTCTGGGCCAGCTTCCAGATGGCGGCTTCTGGTCCCACTAGGCAGCGCCTGGAGACAGCTGGATCACGAGCCAGTGCTGGGTCTCGGAAGGCCAGGGATGTGTTCCCAGCCCTGGGTTTGCTCTGGTCTCATTTAGTCCTCCTGGATTATCTCCTCTCTGTGCCTTCACCTACCTGCCTTGGTGCCTTCATCAAGTCCATGGGAAAGGCAAGGTTGGTGTTGTGGAAAATTCTCCCTGCATTCCTCAGGGCCTGAACGAGGAGGCTGTCCCACAGAGATGTGAGCAGTAGAGTAGATGCTAACTTAGAACCTTCCGGAAAAGGGGCAGGCGTTCACTGAATCTCACCATCCTTGGCCACAACCACTGCCGTCCCCTCTGACAGCTACGCTCGGTCCACTAGATGGGGCTGGACCCAGCCTGGGATCTATGACTGGTACAGGAGCGCCGGCTGCGGAGGAGACCGTGTCCCTGTGTCCTGCTGGCTCCTGCTTGCTTGTACAAGGACACCCCAGATTTGTTTGTGCTGTGTGTTTACCAGACCTGACTTCACTGTGGTGAGAGCAGGCGGACTTGTGTTAAATGGGCATGTATCAGAATGCCTATGTATGAGAACTCTTCAGTGGTAAAAGAGGTTCTCCTGCCTTGTTTTGTCCCATCTTCCTTCGTTTTCATCTGCTTAGCATTTGGGTAGGTGCTTACAGCAAAGATCCGCGGGCCTACACGTAAGTTACCCTTCTATTTACGGGTAAGCACAATGATAAAAATAACTGGCTCTGTGGTGAATCAGTGGAATTTTACTGACTCGCTCCCCAAATGTGTCTGCATCTTACTCCAAGAGAGCTGGCACCCTCTCTCGAGGAGATTGATTCTCCTCTGTACTTTTCCTGTTCGCGAACATTCCCACATCCTGGCGCTCTCCTGCCAGCAGTAAGCCGAGGCCAGCATCCCGCCCCGTGTGGGCACCCCACGGCAGCTGCAGGGCTGGCTGCTGCGGTTGGACGTTCCCTT